GTCTCCCTGTGACCAAGATAGGGTCCTCTGATGCACGAGGATCATTTCAGCCCTACATCCTGCATCAGTATGAGTGGAATTATACTCTGTCTATGTTAACTGTTCAAGGGTGAAGACCACTGTATTCAGCCATTCACTGTGTGCAGACAGACTTCTAATCATTCAGCCAGCAGAATGCAGAAAATTCCTGAATGTATTGCCAGCAGTAATCAGAAAACATTACTCAGCTTATTACTGTACGGAAGACAGAAAAAAGCACTGCCCCTGATCAGGGAACTTACAAGCTAAGCTATTGGTCTAGGTTCTAATATAGCCCCTAGTCCATGGTTATCCGAGCTGTTTGAGGACAAATCCTGCAATTTTGATTCATAAACAGTCTTTAATCATTCAAGCATTCCTAATGACTTTAATGGAATAATGACTTTGGTGGGACCAGAGACACAAAACTCAATAAGTAAATGTCCTATCTCCTTCCCTTCCCTCATAAACTTTCTCTGAGTTCATTCCTCACCTGGGGTTAAATTTAGAAACGCATCAATGTAATAATTAGCAACCACATAACAGTCTTCATGAACAGTCTTCAAGATGGTATATTCTGCAAAAAGGTTGAGTCTGTCTCTTCTCCAGTTTTGGAGATCAGTCATCAGCTAGACCAGGAGGTTTCTCTAGATAGCCTACAATGCTGTATTTGTCAAGAGGCAGTGGAAGGGAACAAGGGTTCCCTACAAATAGCCTACAGCAGCATAAGATCAAGCATACTGAAGTTAAATATGTGATATATTGCTTACCTGTCCTATATCTATGGCTGGGTTCAGGCTGGTGCCAACATCCATAACTATGTCGGTGCGAAGGTTCTAAGTATCAGAGGAAGTCAGGAACAAAGAAGAGCAAAGAATATTTAAAATTGATCACTGTGACCTTGCACTATGAGAGTCAACGTATCCAATGCCAAATGCATTTTGGCCAATGTTCCTGTTTACACACACATACTTGTACGGTATATAAGGACTTCACGCTAGAACTCATTAATTAAAAGGTGATCATCGTTTTAAAAATTAATAATGAGTCTTAACTTTAATTCATCCCTGAGGTAACAGAGATGAAGCCAATTACATTTCCTTGGAGATCTGTTTGACAAATTATGCATTAATTCTTGTCTCCTAGTAATCATTGCTTTGTCTCAAACACAATAAAGGGTAGGTTCAAACAAGCTGCCATTTTTTCCCGCTGAAAACTCTCACAGCCCTATTTTGAATGATTAACCTGATTCTCTGATCTCTTACTGCTGCTTTATGCTGGCGCCTTTAATTTTACAATCTCAGATGGCTTTGCAAGCATTAATTGTGCATCTCAGTTTTTCTGTGAAGTAGAAAATTTTCACTTTACTATGCTTTACAGATGGTTCCATTAAGAAACAGAAAGTAAGAAATTAGCTCAAGGTCACAGAGCAAGTCAAAGGCACAGCTGGAAATGGATGGACACCCAGGACTTGCTCCAACCTTTAGACATAATCCCTTAACCTAACTGTAAAGGGTTTTTTTAACCATCTATCCCACTCACCTTGTGGTCACCTGTCAGGCAATCTATCTCAACCTCAGAGCAAGCAACACCATATGTGAAGTAGCAGAAAGGCTTCCCTTCATTTTTATCAAAGTCATATCCAAGGTCAGGCATTCTTAATAAAAGAAAAGAAGACATTTCTAGTTCCATGAGCAGTCAAAATGAATAAGTTTTGACTGAAGCACACTGAATTTCATATAAATTGATTTTCTTACACTTCACTCATTTTTCTGGGTGTGGGCTAGAAGCACAAAGGAAAATAAGGAAATAAAATCAAGACTAGCTTGCATTTCATGAACTTAAAAGGTCTCTCATGAAAGATCATTATCAATTAATCTGATGCCCCAGGACCTCCACATTTATATTGTCCTTAACCATCTTTATCCCAAGACTACAATATCAAATACTTTATTTTAGAAACAAACTTGTGTGTCCTGGAACTGTTTAAATTTGGGGAAGAAATGAAATTGGTCCAAATAATAAAACTGAGATTTCAGCAATTCATTTTTTTAAAAGTAATTCCCAGCAAACCCTTTGTTATACAGCCTTGACTGTTTATATTCTTTATTAATACTGACATTTTATTAAACACTGAGAGACCTACTTAAGTAGAAGACTAACACATTTCACAGACACAGCAGAAATTAGCTCACACCATACATTTCAGAGCATTTATTCTCAGTATTGTGTTTAATGTTTTGTGACATATTCTGTGCCCCTTAGTGATGACACAGCCTTGCTTGCCTCTAAGAGCTAAGCTGATTGATGGGACAAAAGTGCCATTTTACAGCTACACAAGAAACAATAAGAACAAGAAAGTTTTTTAAATGTGGGATTGAAATTGAAAACAAAAGGATCTGCTGGTGCACTGGAGGGCAGGATGTGACTTCAATTGACTGCTGAAAGCAATCATTAGCTTTCTGAAAGCAATAATTATCATGTTTGGGGCTTCTATAAGGGTCAAATATCGGCCCCTTTTCTAGCAGGCATGCAATGCTCAATGGGCCACAAAATAAGCACGAAGGCAGGGGCCTGGGAGCCGCAGCAAGTGGTACAAACTGAGGGAACAGACTGTGATCTCATATACACCTCGTTAATTTTAAATTAATTCAACAGAAGGCAGGTGTTAGATGAACTCCTGAGCTGAACAGCTGAAAGTGAGATCTGAATCTGACGCCATCTGTGGATCACAGCTGTGCTCCACCAGGGATCCGTCCTCTCTAGCCATGAAGGCATTTGGAGATAGAGGTTTGACTGCTACAAACATCCTTCAGTTTGATTCTCATACAGGTGATGCATGCAACTGCTAAGAAAACTAGAGTGGCCCTAGCCTGGTCTAGGTGGCAGTATGTGTTCCTCCCAATAACTCTTGTGGAATATGCTTGCATTTAAGTCACATTACTAAGTAAGAATATTACTGCATTTCCCCAGCTTTAATACTCACTTATAAAACCCTGTGGCTGACAGGCTCACACAGTTGACATAGGCTGCTTGAATCTGACAAAGTAAACAGATATTTAAAGTTACTGTTATCCATCCAATTTTTGTGTCATAACTTTCTCAGAATGTGTTCCAAGAATGCAACTTTCAGTAATGGGTGACCGCTGCAATGCCAGTGCAGTTATGATAAAGGTGTAAACCTTTGACTACTGCCTGAGGTATCACCGTTAGGCCCTATCAATTCACCCACATGCAGAGGGACTAGCACAAGACCTTTGCCTCACTTGCATTGGCTATCTGCTTAGAGAAGGGGATACACATTTCAACTCAAAGTGAAAACTTACTTCCACTGAAGTCACAGCAATAGTCCCATGACCAGGATTTCCCCTGTGTGGCTTTCAACCCCATCCTCCTTTTCTCTCCATCCTCCCAACATACTCTTTCAATTTCTTAATTCCTTCACCTACTTTCAAAATCTACCCCATGACTGAAGGATAAAATATTTCCCCAAGATCCTGAAAATTAAACTTTTGATTCTCAAAGCTGGCTGGGAGTCTCTAACATGCAGGTATTTCAACTGAGACGGTCCTTGACAATACAGTACAAGGTGTAGCCAAACTGTAAAAGTCAGGTTAAGGGAGATATTGGGCGCATCTACATGTGGTGATTTAAGGTGCATTAGCCATTTTTAAGGTGCATTAAGGGCATGGTCTACACGTGTGTGCACTTAATGTGCCTTAAAAATGGCGATTTTAGGCTAATCATGCCTAAATTTAATACCTGCATTAAGCAAGTATCAAATTTATGTGTGATTAGTTAAGATGCCTTAATGCATGTGTAGACACCGTAAGATTTCATAGACTTTCATAGACATTTGGGCTGGAAGGGACCCCGGAGGATCATTGAGTCCAGCCCCCTGCCCCAGGGGCAGGAAGTCAGCAGGGATCATAGGATCCCAGCAAGATAAGCACCCAAATGTGTCTTGAAGGCATTCAAAGTGGGTGCTTGAACCACCTCTGGTGGCAGTCTGTTCCAAACCTGGGGGGCTTGGACAGTAAAGAAGTTCTTCCTTATGTCCAGCCTGAATCGGTCACAGTGGACTTTGTGACCGTTCGATCCTATCATCCCTTGGGGCGCTCTGGTGAACAGACGTTCCCCCAGATCCTGGTGAACACCCCAATAAACTTACAGGTGGCCACCTGATCACCCCTGAGCCTGCACTTTTCCAGGCTGAAGACTCCCATGGCTCTCAGCCTCTCATCATAAGGTCTGTTTTCCTGACCTCTGATCATGTGCATGGCTCTCCTCTGCACTTTCTCAAGCTTCTTCATATCTCTTTTGAATTGTGGAGCCCAAAACTGGACGCCTTAACACTGTGACTGAGCAGGCTGGAGGCAAGCCTGTGGGACTGCATGCTGCCGCCAAGATGTGGCTGGTGCTGTTCTGCAAGGCACAGATGCTGGACCTGGAGCAGTGTTTCCAGCAGCAGCGGTCCCTGTCGGTGTGTGATAAGTCAGTGGAGGGGGCAGGAGGTGGGAGGACTCCTGTCAAAGTACAGGGGACAGCCTCCCCCCGCCCTGCCCATGACTCCCTGCAGGGGAAGGGGGCAGCACAGCACAGCCTTTGCAAGCAGCTTCCCTGTGCCTCTCCCTCAGGGTAGTTTTGGTAGCTGGGCAATGCAGCCCTGCAGGGGTAGGATGCCTCGCTGGCCACCCAGGATTCAGGCACCCTAGAAGTCTGCTCTGGGACTCCCACCCAGGACATCAGGCAGGCTGGGACTGCATCTGCCCCCAGTGCCCACCACAGCTTTCCCTGCTCCACCCATCTCCGTCCCAGGCAAGTGCCTGACCTCGATGCCAGACACTGTGGGTGGGAGAGTCAGCATCAGCTTCTGGGGGCTCTGAATGGCTCAGCCCAGGCAGGCTGGGCGCAATACAGGTGGGGGCTCAGCTGTGGATCAGGTGGACCAAGGACAGAGCTGAGCCCCTGTCCCGCATTGCACCCAGCCTGCCTGGGCTGAGCTGCACAGAGCCCGCAGGAGTTGTCAATGCCTCTCCCACCCACAGTGTCTGGCATCGAGGCCAGGCACTTGCCTGGGACAGAGGTGGGTAGAGCAGGGAAAACTGTGGTGGGCACTGGGGGCAGATGTAGTCCCAGCCCGCCTGATGTCCTGGGTGGGAGCCCCAGCACAGACTTCTAGGGTGCCTGAATCCTGGGTAGCCAGTGAGGCATCCCGCCCCTGCAGGGCTGCATTGCCCAGTCAGCAAACCTGCCATGAGGCAGAGTCACAGGAGCCCCAGTGCAGGCTTCAAAGGGCACCTGAATCCCAGGCAGGCAGCGAACCATCCCCTCCTATAGGGCTGCATTGCCTGGCATAGGGGAGCTCCTAGCAAAGGCCCTGCCTTCGCTGCACTGCTGCCTTCCCCTGCAGGGAGTCACAGGGGAGCCTGCCCCTTGTGCTTTGACAGGAGCCCTCACACCTCCTGCCCCCTCTGCCGACTTAGTCCCAAGTCGGTCATCACACCAACAGGGACTGCTGCTGCCAGAACTGCCGCGCCAGCTCCAGCATCTGTGCTGCCACCCCTTCTTCTTGGTGGTACCTGGCAGCAGTGTGGGGCTCTGTGGGCTCAGCTTTGGCCTCTCTCGTTCAACACTGGGGAAGCAGGAACACAGGGAGTGGGTTAGATCTGAGGCCGGGGCCAGGACTAAGCCGATCGCATCCAGTGGGGACTGGAGGCTCCCATCCCCTCAGCTGGCGCTGGACTGCACTGCCCGGTGACACTACCGTGGGCTTCTGGGGGCTGCCTAGGGTGCTGACCAAGGCAGACTGCCCAGCAAGCTGCATTAAGGCTCCTTAAGGCGTCCACATATAGACGCATGCCTAAATTGCCTTAATGCACCTTAGGTTAAGGTGCATTAAGTTTAGGTGCATAAAGATTTACATGGACACAGGCCCATTGTCTTCATTGAGACATGTTGAATGGTGTCTTGAAAGTTCTTAACAGAATAGTCATCTTTCTCACAAAACCACTAAACAGAGGTGTCACTCCGAGCAGGTTTGCAGTCTGATGCATTGGAACTATTTGAGATTCTTAATTTAACTTCACTGGGGATTGAACTGCATTTGTGACAAAATCTGCATTAGCTGCTTCCAGCACACTGGGAAATTGTCATGTCAAAACCACTGCAAGAACCTAGTTATGATCCCTTGGAGATTTAGATCTCTCATATGTATCTACTTCCAGGACCAAATTTCTGCTGCATTTCCTATCCTAGAACTTTCTGGAGCATTTCCTTAAAAAGTTGAAGAAGGGACTGCAGATTTGTCTATAGGCTTGATTTGCCAATAAAAGGATTCTCTATATAACCCACCTGTAACAAGTGTAAACAACTTACCCAGTCTTCCCAGGATCCTTTAGGGTTAGACTGTTTGAATGGCTCCAGCCTTTTTAAAATAGTCTGGCATGCATTCTTAAAAAAATATATATATATTATTTTTAGAGCAGCCATTTGAAAAGTCGATATGTAACACAAGGTTCAGTATCATCATGCAATAACCCTCTGCCTCGATCAATATTTCCCTTAGGACACTGATACATCAATAAAGGAACAAGGTTCAGTAACTGGGAGACTGATTATAAAGAACAGGGCTGACCAAAACACAATTATTCTAAAGCTGACTGTGTTAATAACACAGTGGACCCCCATTACAAAGATAGCACTGGAAAGCCATCAACTCAAAGACATTAATGATCATATCATTGCTCTATAAGAATGTCAGGTATACTTCTTGCTGTCTGTTTAGATGGAAATTCCATCTACATGCAAGTAACATTAAACAGTGTAGCATGCCTTCATTTTAATGCCACAGTCATTACCAGGAAATTTGTCATTTATATGGCTCTCTTGCTTTCTTCAGTTTACTAATTTCAGACTATAAATGTGGTGGTTAATAACAGACTGAACATGAGAATCTCATAGAAGTCTGAAATAAACAATCATTTGTTACCAGCTATATGCCAGTAACTGTGGCAGTCACAAATAATTAGGAGTATTTTATGTCTCTTTTTCAAGGACATTAGGCATTCTGTGTCTTTCTAAAGCAACATAGACATGACACACTTATCTACTCTGGAGCCCTAGGCTATTATATAGAGGCATGAGTTACTTAGTTTCCATACATAGACAGCCATCCCGTTAATGTCAGAGCTGACAGAAGCAGCTGTTGGAGACGTATTTGGGACTGTATTAGTGCTCGTCTCACTGATGTAAATTTTCGATGTGGGAATTCCCAGAGTTTTGCTGGCAACCTGCAGAGTAACAAAAATATGACTGTTTAATACACATATTTGAGAGTCAAGGACATTCTCTAGCTAGAGTATCTATGTTGCTGACCCTAAGTATGTAACCCTCCCTCTTCTCAAACCCAAACATCAGTTGGTGATTTGTTGGTTGTGTTGCTGCAAGTTGCACCTAGATTTTGCGAGGTCAAACTCAAAAACCTGTGTGTGCATACAAGCTTGCAAGCATATGTATGTGCATGTATGTGTGTGCTGTCCATGTACTTGCAACCCTTTCATTCTGCAGGTAACACTTATTTATTTGGATTATTATACTCCAAGCCATAGAGTTAACAATTACAGACATAAGGGATTCAGTTCATCTCCCTGCCAATTCAAGACTGTTGTCTATAGTAGAGTTTTGTCCCATCTATCTGCAAATTTCCCAAATCAGAGCTGTCCAACTTCGAAGCCCTTGGGGGCCACATCAGCAGGGGGCCACACACCTAGGAGGCTGCACCAGGTGCTCCATGCAGAAGCTGCCCCCCACCCACCCTTGTACCGCATGACCCCCACCACTGTGTCACATAGTGCATAATCCCAAATAAATCCAGAGTAATTCCTTCCACCTCTGTGGAGTTACTCTATACCCACACTGCCATGAAAACAGCATCCATCTTTCCTGACACTTACCAGAGAAGCCAAATGCAAAAGTGAGAAGAAGATTAGTATAAAAATAGCATGGAAATTGCAGTTTAATGGGACCAGAGAGAAATGATCGCAACCAGGCAATAACTAGTACAGCCTTGTTTGTTCTGCCTGGTCTAGAGTAAAGTGGAAATAATAATTTAAACTAGAGAAAGGATAAAGTGTTCTGTCAACATCGAGGTGTTCATATAAAGCAGATTACAAGTCTTGCATTCACTTTGGAAATCTAGCACTATTACAGATATAGTCAGGGTGATTATTAGGATTTGGTACCCTTTGCCATTTCAGCAGCACTTCTACCACCAGCTGGAGAGAACACTGCAAGAGTGAAAGTGCAATGCGATATAAATGATGTCTCCTAATTACCTGGATCATCTTGGTGTGAAGTCCTTGACCCATCTCAGTTCCACCATGCGTAAGCAGCACTGAACCATCTGTATATACATGCAGCAGAGCCCCAGCCTGCAATAGAGATTATTTAAAAGATAAAGAGTCACCACAATTAAGCTTGTATATAGCTCGACAAATTTTATTTCCAGAGTACACAAATAAAAACTTTGGGACTTGGCTACAGAGGGGTTAGAAGCTAATTGGAGACAAATACCAAGGAACCAGGATCCTCTTTAATATTGGTCTCTTACACTCAAGCACAGTTTGGTCACCTTCTTTAACTGAGGTTCAAATTACAGTTTTCACATCAGCTGACACTTTCAGTAAAATGAACTAAAGTGAGCCAAGCTGGGTCTGTCATTAGTAGGTCATAAACAGATAAGGAACCTCTCCCCCAGATTTTACAGGATGACAAAAACCCCAGCTCACCCAAAGGAATGATCCAGTGTATGTGGATAACAGTGATTTTTGAATGACATCAGATCCATTCTATTTCGCATGGCTGATATCTTTGAGAGACTAAGGGGAGACAATGGAGCCAAGCAGAATGAACGTAGGTGCATTGTGGTGACTTATGAATATATGTAAACTGGGAGCTGTGGTATATACTGTCTGTGTTGAACAAGAAAGATTCATATCATTTCTCCCATAGAGATCTTCATAAGCATTAAGCAATCTTGATGCATAGGGAGAGCCTGGATTGGTGAACATAAAATCCAGTAAATCTCCAGCAAAGATGCGTGACACTTACAGACCTGGTTCAAAAAGGGAACAGTGAAGCTGATTCCAAACTTTGTAGGAATAATGGCCATCCCCCTCTTCTTCCAGCGATTCTGTCTGTGAGACCAAACACAGTTACTTATTCTCCACTCTTCCTTCATGTGTTCATACTACATGATAACTATTAAGAACATATCTTGTTTTTGGATCCCAGTAAGAGGAGGTCCAAACTGAGTTTATTTCCTCCTCCCCTCCCTCCCTCCAAAAAGATTCAAGAAATGATTGTCCCCATTTATTTAGTAATTGTGAATACAAGTCAAATGAAGAAGATGAAATGGCAGTATAAAACCCGTCTAGAAGTGTCCTCGTGGCCCTCTGAAACACAAGATCTAGTTTGCATCAGTCCTTCCCTATATCTCACTTCACCTACAGAAAAGTAAACCTTTAGAGGCTAAATTTATTCATGGTGTTAAATCAGTGGGATGAATTTGGTCCATTATTGTACAGAGCATCCTTCCCACACTAGGGCCAAAGAGACTTCAAGAAGTAAAAAAAAAAAAATCAGTATCTTTATCATATGATTTTGACTCTAAGTTACTCAAGTTATATGGATAGAACTGGAAAAGACAATGGAAAATAGGTAACAGCTAATACTGCTGCATAGTAGAAAATTCCTACCTGTTGAATTCATCTATGAGTTTCCTTCTGGCATGATAGTTTGAGCTCTCCAGACACTCTTCCCAACATCTCTGCACAGTAAATCCCTCAAGCTTTTGATTAAAGTGGGTCAGGTCTCCTTCATTGTACAAATTCAGTTTTCTCACCTTCCCAAAGAAAGATACATCCAGGACTGATTAAACACAACACATCTGGTGCTTCAATCTGAGTCATTCAATTGAACAGCACTGGGTGCATCTACACATTCATTAATGAGTTTTTCCTATTAAGCATTAAATTTAGTACCTCTGATGTGAGGTACTAAATAAATGCACATTAAGCTGCCCAACTGCACAGTAGTGAAAGTGCATGCTTTTTTAATGACATGTAATGTGCAGTATCCTATCTTTACTGCACATTAGCATATTAGCAGTTTCTGATGTGACATTTTAACGGGCAGTAAAACAGGCTATTGCAGATTAAAGAGTGCAAGTAGACGTGCTCACCGAGAGCAAATTTACCTTTAATTCTCACACTGTGTTCATAAAAAAAAACACGGTGACATGATCATGGGCTGGGTTTTTTCAAGAAAGAGGTTGTGGGATTTAGACACATAATCCCATGGAATTTGGGCCTCTAGCTCCTTATGCTTCATTGAAAACATTGTCATTAAAGCTAATACTAGACAATGAGACAAAATTGAAACTAGAAGATGAATTAAGTGAAGCAGATTATAATTCAAGGCTTCCCTGAGTGATTTAGCACTGACAAACAGAAAGGAGAATTCCTGTGCTTACCACCTACTTACTGTAGTATGTCAAATTCCTGAGGCTTTGCTAGTATGCTGCACTGCACTGAAATATAATTCAAATGATTTGTACCTGCTCTGCTGGCAGGCCACACTTCATAGCAATGTCATGCATCCAGCACTCAGCAATCATCATTCCCTGTGGACCACCAAAGCCACGGAACGCTGTGTTGGAGGAGAGGTTAGTTTTACAGACGATGCCCAGGCTGCTGACATTAGGGATGTTGTAAGTATTATCCAAATGAAACAAAGCCCTTTCCATAACCTGGTGAAAGGCAGATACAAAAAAGGAGAGGGGAAATAATTTTTTTAACATATTTCCCATGCCACGTTTTGCCTTCCTTACTGGAGCAGGACTGAGATGCAGCAAAGGCTTGTGTACAAAATGGGCTGCTTTACTTTATTGCCAAGGGCATACAATTACCCCACCAGGGGAGTGAAGAGGCAGGGGCATGGCTACACTCTTCTTCTTTATCGGCAGACAGGGTTGGCTGATATCAGACAAAGGCACTTGCTGCATCTTTCCAAAGGCTGTTGCAACATGCATACTCCCTCTGTGAACCCTGAGGCTCCAGGAAGGACTGTGACTTCTGAAGCACAGTCTTCTTAAAGTTCCTCCTGGCCTGGTTCTGTCCCACGCCATTCCCTACTTCAGGCTGTGGCTACAGGCCACAATCCAATGGGTGGTGTTCAGCTGTTTTCTAAAGTCAATGTTCTTGAAATCACCTGCTTGGTCTAGATTATGACAGTTTTATGGAAGATTGTATATCAGATTGGAAGACAATGCTGTGGCAGAGTCCATGCTGGAGATAGCTCAGAAAGCAATCATTGGTAATACACAATGAGCCAAATTCTGATGCCAGTTACGATAAAGAACATAATGCATGAGTGGCATTGGAGGCAGCTGAAAGACAAGCTCAGTTTTCTGACTAGGAATAACGGTCACACACTGGCAGAGGGTAGATTGAGGCTAGATATCAGGAGGCGCTACTTCACGGTCAGGGCGGCTAGGATCTGGAACCAACTTCCAAGAGAAGTGGTGCTGGCTCCTACCCTGGGGGTCTTTAGGAGGAGGCTGGACAAACACCTTGCTGGGGTCATTTGAGCCCAGTACTCTTTTCTGCCATGGTAGGGGGTCGGACTCGATGACCTGCTCAGGTCCCGTCAGACCCTACTAACTATGAAATGCAACAAGCTTTACATGCTAGCTTACAGAAATGCTGAGTCAGTGTTTCTTCAACACTATTTCTTTTGTTATCAAACAGGAGGTTTCTCTTACTTACGCCATAAGATAGGTCTACAGAGTTGCCACCATTGGAATAATAGGACACCTCCAGACTATTGACTTTCCCGTTGTTCATAAAGCCAACCTGCCAAAAGACAAACCTCTTCAGCTTATACTTACCAGCTGCATAAAAACATGCAGACCTTAAGAACTTGACAAGATTTCAGGGATGTAGGTTGTAGCCGTGTTGGTCTAAGGACACAGGCAGACAAGGTTCTTTGGGTGAATCTGATATTTTTATTAAACCAACTTAAATAGTTGAAAAAAAAATTGTTTTTCCAAGATTTCAAATTTCAGTATTCAGCTGCAAAAGACAAAGTGCCATAAGACAACTTTGTTCCTTCCCTCAGAAAAAAATTAATGTTTTTTATGATGATGAATGGTGCCATCTTAGCAGCGTTCCACTTACGCAGCAGAACAACTATCGTACAAGCAAAACTTTTGGAAGCTTCCCCACCACTGGCCTCACCACTGTGGGTCACACCCTCACCCCACAAGGCACTTCTCTAACATGTAGTTCATCCATGGTGATCAAACCCTCTTTATTTCAAAGAGCAGCCAAATGAAAATTTAAGAGAAAAGTTAAAGGAACACAGAATAGTGTTCCTATTAACTATTCCATGAATTGGCTGGAACAGTGCACAATTCTAGCCAATTCATGGACATCTAAGACCACCACCACAACAGTCACCATGCCACTTATTATGGCAGGGACAGGCAATTATTTCAGCTGGAGGGCCACTTAACGAGTTTTGGTGAGCTGTCAAGGGCCACTAGGGTAGCCCCACCCCTTGAAAGGTGCCCTGCCCCTGGTCACCATCTTGGAACCAGAAGTCTTGGGACCCCTGACTTTGCCACCAGAAGTCCCTCCCCTTGCCCCCAGAAGTACTATTTTTAGGAAGGGGGTTTGCCATCTTGGAACCAGAAAAAAACAAATTATATACTAAAAATCAAGCATTGACAAAAACATATTTTAATTTTACTTTTTAAAAAAATGTCCTGTTTTATGTTTGTTTGTGAGGTGTATATAGAGGTGACTGCATAATAGATCAAAATGAATTCTCACTCTTGTATATTGTTGGGGGGGGAATAGGTAGTGGGTATGGGGTTTGTGGGGAGCTCTGGGTGCATATATGTGGGATGTGGGGGAGCATGTGGGGGTATGTGTGGCTGTGGGTGGCTGGGTATGGGGAGTGTCTGTAGGGATGTGTGGATGGGTGTGTGGGTGGGTATGGGGTTTGTGGGGGGGCTGTGGGGTGTGTGGAAGGGGAGGTTGGCTGGGGAGTGTGTGTGGGGTGTGCCTGGCAGGGTGGGTGTGTGTGTGTGGTGGGGTGTGTGCATGTAGCAGTCAGCGGAGCTCCCCCCCAGAAGCACACGGGTGTGTGTGTGTGAGAAGGGGTGTGGGGGAGGGTTTGTGGATATGGTGGGTTGTGCATGGAAGCCCCCTGCGCACTCCCCTGAAGCAGTCAGCATCTGCCCCAGCCCCAGAACAGCCAGGAGCCCATGCATCATGTGGC